GGGCCTGGAATTAGCATTTTGAATTTCCATGACTTTTCCAGGTTTTTAATGACCGTAAGAACCCTGTGTATCACTCACCAATGCCTTTAAAGAAAGAAGTAAGCCTCCTGCCTGCCTCAGTACTGCTGAGGTCAAAGTGTGCAGCGATGGAAGCTCTGGACTGCGGTGAAACGGACACCACCACAACCTTGTGTTCTTCAGCGTTGGCCTGTGGAGGATGTTATATATACCGTGAAACCAGCAATTATCACATTCCAATGGCAAAGTAACCGAACAAATACTACACAAGCATTCGAACACATCCGTCCATCTCTACCTTGTTGTTGTGAAGCACTTTGAGGAGCTCCTCATGGCTTTGCTGTGTGATGAGGACGCTCTCAGCTGAGGTGATGCAGCCGCTGCAGGCCAAACAGTCTTCTAGTGTGATCTTTGCTTTCTCCAGCTTCTGTTTCCCTCCATCCTGCAAACATGAGGTTAATGAATTCAAGGTAAACGCTCATGCAACACCTATATTTTACGTAAAGGTAATGTTTGGGCTAGATACTAACCTTGTTGACCTGGACATAACTGCCATCATCTTCTATCTGAATTTTGGCCACCGATTTACCAAGTTTTTTTTCTATTTTCACAGGTTTGACGCATTCCTGAAAAACAGAAACCACACTTGTAAACACAACTACAAAATACTTATCTTTGATTATTTGTTATGAACTTTATGAAGACAGCAATTTATAACACTATCCAAATGCCCCTATCTGAACTGAGGGAAAGCAACAAAAGGAAAGATAATGAATAATTAAAACTTAACCGAGAAAAAAACAAGTTATTACCTGTTAACTAACTAGCTCCAACCTCTGTCTTCGTAGTTACATAAATGCTAACATTAGCAGCAAGCTAACTACCTACCACATTTGTATATTTTAACGCTGGCTGGTTGTGTTACCATTAACTGTTAAACGAATAAGCCAACAGCGCTTTATGGTGAGTTTTTGTCAAGCTTTTATTAAGTGTTTATTATAAAGGTTAAAAGTGGATGTCATATCAGCAGCACTGATATGACATCTAACAGATACTGATGCTCGCTATTTTCAGTATGTTTTCGCTATCTGCTGCATTTATATAGGGCGTAAATCATTAGTGTAAACGATGCTATTTTAAGATACTTATTATGAATATGTTAGAATGTTATATTAGCTCAACTACCTGAGAGGGAGTGATAAAATCATCAAGATCTGTCAACTGCAGCACGCCGCTGAACTGAGAAGCCATTTTTACTGCCGTAAAGCGTTTTTTGTTTACTGTTGTGTCGTGAATAGTTATCCTTGATTCAACTCCAACATGGACAAACCTCCCAATAAACCACCTGTTGCAGTGCTTTCCTTTCATCTTTAACAGTTTGGACTTATTGGTCTTGTACAGCCTCCTTATTTCTCTGAGCAAGTTAACCTGCAAGAAAATTACAGTAAGCTATCAACATTACATTTATTTTCTAACTGTGAACATATACAAATTGATGCCTGGTATGGCCTTCACCACCTATCTTTGTGTGATGGTTAACAATGTTTTACCATTATTAAATACATATTTACATTTAAAGGTTCTTTAAGGGGAAAAATGCAATATTATCCATAAATCCCCCTCAAATCAATGTTTCTGACTGAACCTTTGACCACATCCTGTTGAAACTGTAAAGGCCTTTAAGTCAATATTAAATGCCTTAGGTATTCTGAACAAATAACAAAGTAAAACACTGTAAAAATATCCATCACCAAAGTAGGTAAAGAGCATAACATGGAGCCTCACATCAGTTTTCTGTGATATAGACTCTTAATCTATAGAAATTGAAATGTTATCTATTTAAATTACTATGAGAAAGTATAGACGGTTAGACCAAAATACAATTTCGTCAGGATATTTACGCATGAATCCTTGACCTGCACACTGGCTTTTGGGCCCTTGATAAAATGATTATGTAATATGTAGTGACGTATCTGTATATGTACGCAATGTTTCTGCATACTCTACAGATGAAGAGCAGTTGTGCTTGAAACATCACCTTGGTGTAATTAATATTGGACTATAGAGCATGTGAAAGCAAATTTACATTCTGTATTCCATGGCCCCACATCTGTCCCACGCTTGAATAGATTAATTGATAGCTCTGATAATTTAGTAGTATTTTTTCTTTTGGATATGTTTTCAATGTTTTAATAAGCATTTTGATATTACCGTGCCATCGTAGCCATGGCATAAAGATACAGATGCAGATAATCTTTGACAGATATATTAGTATTATCAGATCAAATAGATAACGTTCAATAATAAATATTTAACATATAAAGGGATCCAAAGAAGCCATCTTTGTCATTTGTCGAAATGTATTTCAGACCGTTTAATGCACCATAAGAAAAAAATGTGATCAAAGTATGTTTTTCTTTTATGTATAGGTTAAAAATATAATGATGAATGAAACAGTAATACTTTAAATGAAATAGATGCATAGGTTAATATATATATATGAAAGTAATTAATGGGATGAACGTAAAACTAAATAAAAATAAAATGAACACACCAGAAGTCAACATTAATTTCTTGTCTTAAAACAAAGATCCATTTATTTCTTTAAAACATTCAAACAAAACAGGGTTTTCTTTAGCAAATACACTTTAAAGAATGTAACACAGCATACACAATAAGATGTATTAGAATATACTCTTACATTTTGTTGAACCTTAAACACACACACACACACACACACACACACACACACACACACACCACAATTCAAGCATATTATTATGCTAGAAATATTCATTCAAAAATTGTTTCTTGTTTTCTTCCCTCTATCTATGATAAGAGGCACGCACGCGCCCTTGTGTTGTTATGACTACGCGGTCGTAAATCCGCCATGTTTTCGCTCCTTTATAGCTGCGTTGCGACAGAGACGGAGACATGAATGTAGAAAATAATCATACGGCAGAAACAGAGACGGAGCAAACGACGGACGGCAACGAGACGATCACCATCCAGACAACACTGGGAGATGAAGGTTTACTCTCTTACTTTCGGAATCAAGACTGAAATATTTATAGATATTGTGTTTGGGCCTAGCTCACTTCCTCCATCATGAAATGTTGCTAGCAGCTAACTGCCATTAGCAACCACATAAGCTAGTTGTTTTACCGCTGCAGCTTTACTCAGTTTAGAAGTCCATTCAGTGAGCAGTTTACATCAGCTAGGTGGCACAGATACTTAACAAAGTTGTCTTATGCTATATTGTGCATTTCTCTTTGCCTGTCAGATGAAGATGTGCACAAATGTGGACGCTGTCAGACCGAGTTCTCCACGCTGGAGGCTTTCATCCAGCACAAGCTGCAACAAAACTGCAAACGCATGGAGGCCAACCAAGAGGTATGGACTGTGGTGTGTGTGGTTTAATATCCAGTTTACACTTTAAACTGCAGTATCGAATACATATCTATATTTTACCAGGTTACTGCAGCAAATGGAAGTTCTTCTTCAGAGGTGAAAACAGCTAAAGGTGCATCCTCAGATGAGCGAGTGAAGATCACTAACGGTGGGTCAACATTAAGGCTGAATCTAAATTGTATCATCATATATTTGCCAATTATTGTGAAAGAAACATCAACATTTCCTCCTGAGGGCAAGGTTACTTATAATAATTGTTTGTTTGAACCAACCATCAGTGCAACACTAAAATACATACTGTTCACATCAAGTTTACCTAAGTATAAATTACATATTTTGTATTTCTTCATTCATCATTTTGGTTCAACCTGTAAATTAGATTCTCCAGGGGGGCTACATTGTAATTTGTATCTTTATTTCACACAGATGAAAGCAGTGGTACTTTTGGCAGAGGTCGCAGGAAGAAAATAGTTTCACCCAAAGTCAATGACCAATCCGATGGGACGGAAGGATCCTTATCGGACAATGCTGAGAGTGACAAGTCTGTTGTTTACAAAGTTAACCAGGAGGGACGCTACATTTGCCAACTTTGTGACAAGACATTTAAAACTGTAAGTCCTAAAATGTATTTGTGTTTAACTGGGGACCTGAGATCAGATTTCCTTGTCAGAAATATCTTTCATGAATAATACCAGGCTGTGTATTTATTACACTTCATGTTGCCAGTGCTTTTCTTTATGATATGTTATATTTTTACCCCACAGACCAACATCTTGAGAACTCATATGAAAACTCACAGTGACCAGAAGAACTTCTCATGTGACCTATGTGGAACCTCCTTTCGCACCAAAGGCTCCCTGATTCGTCACAATCGTCGTCACACTGGTACAGATAGTTAACAAAGACTGTTTTGTTTATGATTCCATGTCTTCTAAAACAGCTTATATGATAACTTTCTTCCTGTTTCCTCACAGATGAGCGGCCGTATCGCTGTACCCTTTGTGGCCAGTCTTTCAGAGAGTCCGGTGCCCTCACAAGACATCTAAAGGCCCTCACACCCTGCACAGAAAAGATCCGCTTTGTTCAATATAAGGAGATCTTAGTCAGCAAAGATGGTATACAAAAAGGTCAGATTTTGCTGTTATTTTGTGATAAGTATGTTTGTGTTAAACAAAGTAGCTTGACGGTCCTTTACATTCTATTCTATCAAAGCAAATTCATGGAGTCCTTTTATATCAAAGTCGACAATGTACAAGATTGAGAAATAGATTAAGAAAATCCAATGACAGGTCTTTGTGCATTTCACAGGAGTCGATGATGCAGTGGCAGGCCAGCAGCATGAAGTGGTGGTTTTGGAGCATCAGCCAGAGGAGGAAGAGGTGGAGGAAGAGGGGATGGTAGAGGCTCAGACTGCTGTGCTCAGTGTGGTAGAGGCTGGTTCCCACGAGGTCCTCCATCAGGTCCACTTCACAATGGAGGTGAATGGAACAACGCAGGAGCAACAGGTTAGTAGAGAAACACATTTAGCCCAGCTGTTACCAATCAAATATACACAGAACACATACATTTTCCATAATACCTTTTGGTACATTATTTGCAAAAATAAAGAACATTTCGATTTAGTAAACGAAAAGCGAAAAGCAGTCACTACATTGTGCACATTTGGGACAGTAAGAAAGGTACTACTTATTACTGCAAGGGCAGCTGGTGGTAAGGACCTCAGACAACTTCAATTTAAAACAGGCTATAGGGACAAGTGCCGTCAGCTTAAGGCTTGATTGAAGGTCATTCCAAGACCAAGGACCATAAAAAAAAAAAGACTCCTTTTCTTACAAATTCCACAGTAGAAATAACAATGCTTATGAAGGGAAGATATCTCTTTTTACATTACATGTTACTTGTTAGACGCTTTTATCCAAAGCGACTAACATACTCAATACTGTGGACAATCCCCACTCTTGACTGTTAAGATAAATGTTCCCACATACAGTACGCCGGTTTGATCCATGGCTGCAGGAAACAATGGGTTGAAAGTTATTAATAATAATAATAATGATAATAATAATGCATTACATTTTTTATTAGAGCGCTTTTACAGGTGCTCAAAGCACTTTACAATTACACATATTAGACTTATTAGATTTGATTGTGAAAGAGGCTCGACCAAGTATTAACTCCAAAGCTGCACACTGTTATCAATTAACCGACTGAATACAAGACCACTCATGTCTGAATGAAAAGTAAAGGACTTAACTAGTGGTGGACTATGTAGTTGACAGCAAGTTACACTAAACTTAAATAACAATATCTCCAAAAAGTAGAGCGGATTGTGCTCTTTATATTCCAAGGTTCTTATGGCTAGAATCAGAACACATATTGAATCAAATGCATGTAATTAATACTTCCTAACATTCTGCTCATATTTGTGACGAACTTTATTTCCCTCATTTCTTTTAGACTCAAACAGACGAGGACGTGCAAGAAGAAGAGCTTACACTCCTTCAAGACAGCCAAAATGAGGTCAGTATACACAAATACACACACTAGCGCACAAAATGACATCTGTAGAGTTTGCGCAGAGCGTGAGAATCAAATGATCTGATAAGGACCGTTAATTGGGTTTTCATTATCTTACGCCTCATCTCCTACCTCTTTTCTACCAAACCTGTCAGATGGGAAACACCATCATGAAAGTGGTGCAGCGGATTGTCAGCCAATCGCAGGCCGCCGGCAACACGGGCAGCCACCAGATCATCGTGCGCAACGTGGCGATGAACGAGGAGGGCGCCTCCATCTCTGACTGCGGGGACACCATCACCATCGCTACACCAGAGAGCCTGACGGAGCAGGTGGCCATGACGCTGGCCTCAGCCATCAGCGACGGCACGCTACTGGCCACGACGGGTACCGTGGAGACGCCAGATGGGACAGTAACTATGCTGACAACTGAAGAGACGGTGGAGGAGGAGGGAATACACATGGTGCAGCAGCAAGAGGAATACGTCATCACATCCCCAGAGGTGGAGATACAGACTGTCATTGTATGATCCACGGGGTCACTGACTATGCACTGATACATTTGGCTGGACTTTCCCTGTAGCCAAGAACTGTGTAGAGTTTATGTAAGCTCATGTGTGAGATTTGATAACTTAACAAAGGCCAAAGTGTTTCTAAAGTTTAAAGCTACATAATTAGAACAAAAGATGTCTGTGTGAAACCTAAAGAATGAGTGGGCATGAGGACCATCATGTTTTATTTTTTGTTCATTTATTTAATTGCACTGCGTTCAGTATGCCTCCTATTTTGTTTAGGTGCATATCTCTTGTTAGGTGGTACAAACGGAACATTCTTTGCCTTTAATCTTTGTTCCTGTAGCCTGGTCTCCTTTATTTGCTGCAGTCAAAAAATGAAATGTCTTTGTATTTTATTACCTAAATCGGCATCATTCCGCAGTGTTTCTGCTCTCAGATGTTCTTTTCACCTTCAAATTGAAATGTGATGCCTTTTTGAAGACGGACTGATCAACAACTGTGGCGTGTGCCTGCCTGTTGAGGCCATCTAAGGAGACCATTAACCTCCCACAGTGCAGTGTTAAAGCATAATGCATCTTTAAGCATGACAGATAAACCAGAAACTACATTTTTTCAGTTTACTCGAGCAGAGTTTGCATCAAATAAATGCTATTTTCTTATACAGTTGGCTCTCATTTATCTTTGTTGCGATCATGATTTTTGTCTGACCCTTCAGTGTGAAATCTATCAAAATGATATAAAGAGAAGCAACCAAATACTTGGTTACTGTAAATGGTGATGTCTTGCTATTACCAATCTACCTTACCCTGTCCTGTCTGCAAGTTTAATCATGTTGTATTATTGTCCTTAGCATTTTATCATCCTGTGCAGCGGTCTTATTTCATTTCTTCTCTTTGTTTAAAGAAGTGTGTAGCTGTAGAGAGAATGTCATCTTCCATCTCATCGTGGGAATACCACCTGCTTTAAAAGCACGCACACCTGCCAGGTAAAACACAGCAACCTCTGGGACACATGCACTCTCCAGGCTTGTTCTTTCTGATGTTGTTCTGTAAACTTTATAAATAATTGCCCTGCTACACTTATTTCACCAAGCTGAAATATTGCATGCAGCTTTTAGCATATATCTGCAGGCTGTAACTGGTGCTGGAGCAGCAAGGTTAAAACAGCCGCTTTAATCAGAGAAGTGTCCCCGGCTGGTGCAACACACACTGGTTTCTGGGTCACTCCTCAGCCCTCAGAGAGGGCCCTATCCACATGAGCAACCGAAGAAGGCAGAGAAAGAGGGTGGGACAGAGAGAGAGGGAAAGGTATTTATAGAAAAATGGGGCTTCACAGTACCTTTTCTTGCAAAGAACCATTTCAGGACCAAGTGAGCGTGTCCCACTTTCCTGATCATCTCTCAGCCATTGGGTTTAGATAGAAGCTGAGGCTGGACTGCCTCACCCAGGTGGAGAGCCTTTCTTTCAGATGCTCTCCCCCTTCCTGCGGCCCCCCTCTCCACAGCTGCTTACCGCTGGTTTTCTGATTGAGAACAGTGGGAGGCGTCGCCCCATGATAACCTACAGATGTGACCTTTTAGGCACACTTGATTTGCCTTGCTCTGTAGAGGCTTTTGGAGGCAGTGAGCTCAGGTGAGGAGCAGCACAAAGGTGTCCAAAGACACCCTTTGGCTGCACCACCCTCCGGGCCGGGGGCAAAGGAAGGCTGGCTGGAACGTGCCCTGCCGCCAGCCGGGCGAGGATGAGGCGCTTCCTGAGCAGAAAGGGTCGCTTCTCCCTGCGCCAGAGCAAGTCTGGAACCCGGAGTGCCTCCAAAGATTTCTGTAAGTCTCTTTCTCTGAATTGTACTTTGTACTTCCTGAATTGCTTCATCTGATGGAGTTAAGATAAAGAGGAGAGCTTATGCTGACATTGTGTAACTAGGTCGCAGGCTGAGAGAAAAGGACTGACAGAAGTCTTGACAATCCTCTGAGTGCTGCATGTGTTCTGATGGGGAGGATTTTGATCCACAGCTCCATGTCAGTGATTTCCCAATCTATTTTAGATCAATAATCAGCTGCTGTTTGATGTTTCTTCCCTGCAAGCTGACAACTCATTCTGTGACTCTTTGGTTGCCTTCAGATTTGACATGTTTTATTCACTCAGCCACATCGCTCCCTGAATATTTTGCCCTTTGCTAAACTGAGAACTGCCTTGTCTTTTTTCGCAGTGAAGCAGATCAGATATTTCTACATTTCTTCGTAAATCTAAGTCTCATTTTCTCACTTCTCGTGCACTTTTTAGTTTGTTTTCTTCCTTCCCATCTCTAATTGAGTCTATTTCTTTCTGACTTTCTTCAGCTTTGCCTGAGTTTTTTTGTTTTTTGACAAACATTTGATGAAGTTAGAAATGATACAATTCTGCCTTATTTAAGCTGCAATTAGCCTCTTAATGCAAATGGGAAAAGTGCAATGCAAGAGAGCAAGTACAAAAAAAATACAAGATAATAATTGAACTCAATTACACAGGAGTTTTTACAAGCACAAGGGTTGTGAATTATCATGTTTTGAACCTGCATATTAAGCGATTATGTTGTGTTTGGTGAGAAAACAGAACATGGACACAGTTCCCTAAAATGTTCTATAAATATCTTGGACATATCTAGATGAGTTGAGATGAAGTGAGCCTGTTGGGACTCTTCCTACCGCAGTAGAATGAGGCCAGTGACCAGGGGAAGGCCAGCGGTTCATGTGGGTTAAATAATAAAAGTCAGAAATAACCTTATTCTCTCTCTTCTTTCATTCATCGAATAGAAAACATCTTAAAATCTGGATTGTGCATTCTGTGTCTTTACTATACAGTATATGTGTGGCTTTATTACTTTATATGCGTGGCTTCATTACATGAATTACCGATTTACCTGCTGCTACAGCTCGTCAGTTTGCATTACTGGGATGCCCTATTTAACTGTACTGTTTGACCTCCATTTAACAGCTCGCAACCTGCTCGTCTGTATGAGCAGCTTGCTCCAGATTAACAATGTTCTTTCATGCTAGTGTGACATACATATCCTTTAAGCAGTAACACATTTCACCTTCCAATTAAAAACCCATTGAAGTCTCAACAGACACAATTCTTGCTGGCCTTTGACTGTCACTTGTTAATGAACTTGCAGCATTTTGCAATTTTCCTTTTCTGTCCATCTTCCAGACCTTGGCCTCCCAGCAACCAATCAGAACTGGCCCGAGGCGTTCGGCTTCCGACTGGGTGGCACTGGGCCCAGCTACATCCTGTCCGTGGTGGAGGGCAGTAGTGCCTACCTGGCTGGCCTGCAGCCCGGGGACCAGGTGGTGGACATCGAGGGCCAGGATGTGACCAACCTCAGCACACCGGCGCTTGTCGCTCTGGCTCAGACCCTCAAGACGGTGCCACCTAGCATCGGAGTAGTGTCACGCATCGAACAGGTTTGCTCAAAATTAAGGGAGAGTCAGTAAAAACACACTTAAAGGTCTCCTATTATAATATTTCTCGGCATATATTATAGGTCTCAGATGTATAAAAAACATGTCTATGAAGTGTTTTTCTCAATATACCAAACAGATCATCCATTCTAGCCATGCCTCATACCCCTCTATTTCAGCCTTGTTAGAGTAGTGCTGATTCTGGGTCCGTAGCTTTAAAAAAAAGAAATTAAAAAAAGAGAGCTCATGCAGGAGAATCCTACCCAGATACTCAGCTAAACGCTGCCGTGATTAAACGCCATATTATGTTCCAAACCACATCAAGGATTATTTCTGAAATGGTATGGAGCTCAAATGCTTTTTCTCTCGCGTGTTAACCACAAGGTGAGTACCTTTTTATATCCTGCTTTTTTACACATACTCTCTCCAGTAGAGAGTGTTAGCGATGCTTACTAATGTAAACACAGACCATATTACTTCCAATACACGTCGCGCATTGTTTCTGATTCAGCGATGTTTCTGATAGGGCCGTGGGCGTAAAGCCAGCCCGCATTTCCGATATTACGTCATGACCGCAGCAAATCTTGATCAGCTCCGTTGTACCCCCGTTTTTAGAGATGTGGGTAAGGAGGAAACTAGAGAGGGTTGTATTTTCGGACACTTTGTGAGTCACCTGACACACAGGGGACACATATGTATGTATAAAATACATCAACAAGTGCATTTTGCATAATAGGGTACCTTTAAGTACTTTCCCCTTCCTCAGATTGACGTCACTCCTGGCCCAGATGGCCGTTTTGGCTTCACCATCATCGGAGACTGCCCTCTGATGGTGGAGGACTGCATGCCCAACGGTCCTGCCGGTCGCAATGGCCTCAAGGCCGGGGACTATGTCATGGAGGTCAACGGCATCCCAGTGAAGCATCATGAAACGGCAGCGGCCATGATCAAAGCCGCTCAGGGGCGGCCTCTGCGTCTGGGCGTGCTCAGTATGGCCCGGCGGCCCAAGAGGCTGAGCAGCAGTATGAGGGTGTTGTCGCAGAGCGGGGACAGCATCAGGGAGAGCCGCGCCCACAAGGCCATGGAGTTCAATAAGAAAGTGGGTGTGAAATAAATGTTTGAAATTGTATGTGATTGGTGCATTTTCATTTTCTGTATGAGTTAATGTACGGGCGTTTGTTTACCCCTCAGGTGGAGGAAGTGCTAGGGGAGGAGCTGGATGTGAAGGAGCAGCTGTTTGAGGTTCTGAAGCGGTACGCTGCAGAGAGGGACGTGGAGAGTCTGGCTGAGGCGCTGCCCGACATCTTGATCGCAGAGGAGCACCAGCAGCTGATTGACAATGTCAGGTAGCTAATCAGAGCTTTTTTAGGTTGAAAACGCAAGATGCTGCACTGACTGCACTGCTTTGTTTTAGTTAAAGAGGCCTGAATCAGACGGAGAATTTGTTATTTTATTTTGCCAGGCAACCACAGAATGAATGCTAATGTCAGCTCGCCACAAACGCTGATTTGTACGCTTTCCTTATATTTATAAAAGGCTTTACAGTTTAAATGAATGAAAACAGTTTAACCAAACTCCCAAGTAAAGAACTCATTTACCACCAGGCTGCTGTTTAACTGTTCAGGTCACAGTTAATCCCGCCTCTGAATCAATCCAATTGGATATAAGGAAAACACAAAAGCATTCGACAAAAAGCTTCACCCACATTAAA